AGGGGATCTCGTAGTCGAGCAGTCTCGACTAGAGCTTTCTTACTTGTTTTAATATTTATTTCTAAGCACTTCCTTCTGCGCTGCTCGCATGCGCCTGCGCGGAAGTTTTGTTAGAGCAATTTGTATTTTTAGCTATTTATGCATAAATTCATGAGTGGCAATGCACTTGAGTGCCCACTCAATAGGAGTAACAGCTCTTCAGACACCCCCCACTACCTATGAGCCTATGCTAACTGCTTGGATGTGTCTCTTGAACAGTTCCCAGTTAATATTGACGGGTTTCTCTTACCAAAATCAAAGTGATACATGCTGGGCAGCTCGCGCGGCGTTGTCGTGCGCGTCAGCGAGGAGGGCAGCGGTGTGCAGGGGGGCGTGGCAATAAATATTGCCTCCAGCGGGCGCGACGGCTCCGCTGCTGCCATTTCCAATTCCATTTTGCCAAATTTTTGCAATTTTTTCTTATTTTTTTTTTTGTTCACAATGTGAATTTTTTGGCCAAAACTTAATTTATGCACTGAACTTGCTGCTTAAAGGAAAATTTATGCAATTTGCGTTGGTTTCTTTTTATCTGGCGAGGCAAGGTAAGCTCACTTCCGCGAAAGTAGAGATAGAAAACGCGCGCGTTTTGTGTCGCGTCGCGAGCGTTTAAAAACGCGCGGCGAATATCTTTCGCTCACATGCAACGGCTTTTGCAGCAATATTCATCAAGTGAATGATTTTTGCCTCATTTGCTAATTAATCATATTTCGTTTTCACTGCACTTTCAAAAACAAAAACAAAACCAAAAAACTTTGGCAATAATTTTTGCCTAATGTTGAATATTATTTTTGTTTGTGTTTTTTTCTTTGGTTTTCACAATTCTTTTTTTGTGGCACGCGAAACTTGTGAGCCGAAATAATTTGGAGTTTGGTTCACATTTGAAATTCGTGTTGTTGCTATTGTTGTTGTTGTTGTTGTTGTTCACATTATAGCCAAATTCATATGGAAATTGTTAGCTGCAGCGTGGCATATAATTTAAGTCTGAGCTGGGATGGCTGTGGGTGTCTCGCGTCGGAGTTGGCGTCGGTGTCGCTCCTTCGCTTTATTCGTTGTCGTCTATCTGCAAAAGGTCAGAGCGTGAGATCTTTATTTATAAATCACATTCCGTAGAGAAATTTTTGTATTTAGATTGCAATGTTCAAGTATTTAAGGTGTGTGTGTGTGTGAGAGAGAGAGAGAGAGAGAGAGAGTCAACTTAAGATACAATCTATTAACTAGCAGATACTTTTGTATCTTCAAGTGTTAGCTGGCGTAGATTAAAAGTTTGTTTAACATAATGAAACTTGCAATTATTTTTATTCAAGATGTGAGACAGAGGGAAAGCAAATTTGGTTTATACAAGCGACTAACTAGCAGATACTTTTGTATCTTCAAGTGTTACTTAGATATAGAGGTAGATTACGTCTCGTATAGACAGCAACTAAATGCCGATGACGTAGATTCCAGTCACCAATGGGGCTAAGCGCATATTAGCTAATTTGCAAAAACACAGAGAGAGAGAGGGAGAGAAATAGCAGCTAGCACAGCGCAGTAACAATAACTGAAACAACAACAACAACTACAACAACACCTATCTAATGAATACGCAAAACAAACGCCAAAACAGCATATGATGAAATCGTCTAAAGTTAGATGGCGATTTGATGGAGGGGTTTCTTTTTGGTTTCGTTTGTTTTTGGGCTTGGCACACGCAACGCGCGAGAGAAGTCAGAGAGACAGAGAGAGAGAGCACTAGAGTATTGCCAATTAATTACCGTTAATGTTCGCTTGATTTGCGTCGCAATATATTAATATATATATATATATATATGTATGTACGTATATATATGTAAGTGTAACTAGATCAGTTGTATCTTATGGCCGACACGCTTGAAATTCGAACAGCGACTGAGCTCAAAGCTGAGAATTCGCACTCGCATTCGCGTTCGCTCTTTAATTGCAAATGAAAGTGAACACATTAAGCTCCATCAGTGAGCGCACTGTCTGGCCAATTGAAAATGTATCTGCCACACCATTATCATCATCATCATCATCAGTACTATTGTGATTATTATTGTTGTTGTTGTTGGCTCTTTGTTGATCTTAACGTTCGACAAGCTTTCAACATTGTCAGCGACTGTAAAATACAAAAATCATCTTTGCTTTGTTTGCCAATTTGTTGTTGCTGTTGTTGTTGTTGTTGGTTATGGTCATCTTGCGTGTTCAAATATCAATTAACGCTTCTCTTCTAATTATGCCATATTTGTCCATTTTAATGATCGTGCTTTTTGGCCAATTTGCCTTAATGTTCATTCTTGACTCCAGCATAATGGAGTTCAGGGCAAACAAGTTGCGCTAATCGCAGCGGGCTAATTATGTAGAGCTTATCTCCCAAGACAGTTAATAACTGTGTGTGCTACCCACATTGCCAGCTCCCATAATTATAAATATATCGAACAATATGCTTGTCAATATCTATGCGAACAACTGAATCTACAGCTACGTATTGCTCTGCACTCGTATATTAGAAATTAAGTGGATTGATGCATGGCAAAGAGTGTAATTGTAGGCGTACACTGAGAGAAGCAAAGGGATGCTTATATATCATAGAAATATTTTTATATGTTTAAATAACTTCAATGCAATAATTATCTATCGTATAGTTCATAAAATTTATGACTACCAATGCAAAAAATTAATTAATATAATAATAATAAATAATAAAAATAATTCATCAAATGAATAATAAAATAGCCATACAAATTCTTATTAATACTATAATACTTTAATTTAAATATACAAAAATATTGATGCATGTAATAAATTAATATACATATATTAAAAATTA